TTTTGGGGTGCTTAGTGTCTGGTGGAAGACGAGCGCCTCCGTAAGTGAGTTATTTCAGGCGGTTCTGCCACAATCACCCTGCGCGGCTGGTCGCCATGCTACTGCCCCCGCTACCGCCTTTCCCGCCTAACACTGTGGTGTTGCTGCTGTCCTTCTTGCTATCAGGCGCGTGGGCGTGTCCCTGCTGCCGGCGCCGTCGCATTGCCATCTCATCCGCGCCCACTGCAAACCTGTGCCACTGCTTGGCCCTGTCCGAGGGCACTTCCTCTATCGTGTGCGCGCTACCGGCCTAGGCATGTGTGGGGCCAAGCTGATGCCATGACAGTCACCGTCTGGCTATCATGGCGCTTGTCTCGCTGTTAAATTCACCTACCCGCCGAGTCACTGTCTGCCTCGGCTGTCTTGTAGCATTGCGATCTCACCCCCACTGCCCTACCACTCATGCGCCGTTGTTGCCTCGCTACGCTATGCCTAGCGCTCTTACTTGTTCTGTTTCTGTTGTTATCCCCTCATTCACCGACGCACCTCTGTTACCGCCTCCACGGTCATGTCCCCACGTGGCTATGCCCTCGTCGTGTCTTGGCCAATTCGTGTTAAGTCGAGGCCGCTGTCCACAACGTAGCAGCGATAGCACACCATTCCTTTCTTTCAAAATCACCAGCTCGGGCTTCACAGCACAATTGTGTGGCATAGGTAGTCAGCTACGCGCCCTATTCTCCTCAAGCCTGATCGATCACTACCGACCGACAATTTGGCTTTTTGCTCGTCGCCGGTCATAGGCGCCGCCGAATCAGTCGGTTGGGAGGTAAGGCATGTAGGAGTGGTGGTAGTTCGATTGCTCGTAACCCTTAGCTCGCCTGGACTCCCTCTATCCAGTGCTCGTGGTATTTTGGCTAGGGTTCTCGATGATGGTGGGGTTACGCGTCGGTGTCCATCCTAGAGCACCACCATCTCGGCGGCTCGCATGTGGCCAGACCGCCACAGCACTTCCCAGCTTCAACCGTTAGTAGGGCATACACCACGGTGAGCTACGGATGCTTCTCTGCCATCTCTACCATGCCGTGAGGGCATAGGCTCATCGGAATAGTCGCACCACCACAGCAGATAGCCGCTCGTTGCTGTAGCTCACGCCAATGCGTCTTTGAGTCCCTAACCGTCGCCCATCGTAGCGTGTTTAATCGTAGATGGTGACCGACCCTCTAAGTGGGTCCGCGTAGGCCTCTGGTGCCCGACGTGGACGCCTAGTGCCGTCGCTCATCGCGCCGCCGTGCACGGGATGATCAGGGGTGCGCGCGGGAAAATTTTGAAAAACCCAGGGGGTTAAGTGAATTCGCTAGAGAAAGGAAGAAATAGTATTAGGACCTAGTTGTGGTTCGGGAAAAGTCTGAGGGCTCATTTGCTAAAGTGCCAGCGCGGGCTCCCCGTCGTGGGCTGCGGGGCCGAATGGTTGCCACCGGCCCTTTTCCTTTTCTAAGCCTTTTCTAATTTAGTTTCTAAGGTAAACTTGTAAATTCAATATAAAATTGTGTAGTTAACCAAAAATTGTGAAACCAATTTTGTTAAGTTCCTAAAATCATGATCTATCTGCTAGTATGTTTTGTTCATATAGTTTTATAATATTTTTAGGAGTTATCTAATTAATTAAGATGCTTAATATTGTAAGATATAAACTTATAGGAATTTTTGTGATAAATTGGTGATAATGTTGGCTCTGAAACTTTCACAGTAAATTTCTAACATTATTGGGTGCTCACTGTAATTTTTGTAGCTCCATAATAATTAGTTGCTAGGTAACTAAATGAGCCCTAGTTCGAAAATATATGTTTAATCAATAAAATGCCGAAACACCTTGGGATTTTAGAACTAAAACATTTTTCCGGAGGCGAAGCCTTACTTGACGACGTTGATACGAAGACTAGTATGTCAGTCATTAAAACTAGCTTGTTAGCTTACGGAGCGTAATCGTATTTTAGAGTTGCAGTTATTATTGATTATATCTTACCCAGACAAGCCCCGGTGCATAACCCCTATTATTCTGCACTTTATCTTATGCTTATGTATTAAGTTTTAAGGAGTTGAATAAAAACCACTTGCATATATATATATATATCCTTATCCTATGAGTCCTACTAGTATGCTAGGATCGTGTAGATTGCTATGCTATAGGATTCGGTAGAAGTCGAGTGATTACCTGTCACTCACGAGAGACAGAAAATATATTATTATTGTTATTATATTACTATCACATGGAATATATATATGGATGATAATTGGAGACCGGGCGTAATGGTACTTTGGATATGGACTTGGTTAGGCATCCGAGCGAGGCTCGGATTGCATGTGTTTCGCCTGTGTCGATTGAGGATCGTCCACTGCTGTGGATGGTAGTCAGGTCACAGACTTATTATCCTAAGCACATACTTGCTTATGGGAGCGAAAATGCTCATTACGCTCTTGTCGTGGGTTCCAGCTCTTTCCAGACCTACTGATTGGAGGCGAGGAAAGGTGGAGGTCTAAGCACCATACTGAGACCGGGTCTCAAGTTTGGGGGCTTGGAGTCCAAGTTTGCACAGGGAGCTGGACCCCTTGACAGGAGTGGAATGGGTTGGTCTTATTTGTGCCTGGGGTATAAATGGGGCATGTGTTTCGGGATACCTAGCTAGGATACATTGATTTGTGAATTGCCATTTCTGTGAGACGGTACCGACTTGTCTATGGTCTAGCACCGTAGTAAGAACTGGAATATGAAAAAGGGTAAAATGGTTCTGATTGCTTACCACCTGCTTGAAAGTAGCATATGTGCTTACATAGAATGGTTAGTTAATGAACTAATGATGACTGCTAATAAAATTGAATATAAGGACGCACAGTTAGTAATGCTTCCACATATGCAATAACCCATCAGCCAAATGAGCCTTGCATATCCTTGGAGTCTTTTATTTTCCTCTTGTCGGGTAAGTCTTGCTGAGTACAATCGAGTACTCAGGGTTTTATTCCCCCTGTTGCAGGTGATCGAAGGATACTTAGAGCTAACTCTTATGTGTGGAGACCTCCTGGTGGGTTCAGAGAGGATTCCTTTCACACTACAACCGTAGTGTTTATTTATAACTCTCACTAAAGATTTTTATAAGAAAAGATGTAAAATCTGCTAGCATCTCTTGTATAAAAATGTCCACGATGTTAATGCTCCACCATGTCATTAAATTAATCTTGCTTCCTTTGTAACTCTGATAACATTGTTATATTCCGCTGTTATAATAAATGGAGGTAATATTCTGGTACTGTAATAAAGTGATGTAAGAAATGACTTAAGAATGTTGTAAGCTTTATTCTCTCGTTTATGATCTTGATGCAAAATGTGGATTTTCAAGTTCTTCCTTGGGGTGTGCTCGACGGAACAACCCGATTTAGTGCACTCTCTTGGGTACTTAGTGTATAATGGAAGACAAGTACTCTTGGGAAGGCATTAGATTAGGCGGTTCTGCCACACATGCACACTTATGTTTTACTCATTTTATAGGGTTACCCTAGAGCCAAATACTATGAAAGAGCCCTTGCATACTTCTTACCCCCAAAGCAATAGCATCATTGGGTTGGGCATTGGCTAGTACAAAATCATACTAAAATATCTTGGTTTAAAGAGATGAGCATGAGTACGACTTAGACCACGATGGTTGAGACACATGACAGTCTACATCCTATGGTTGTGGAGGATGACACCAGCTTCATAGCACTCGCTTCGCTTTGCTTTTTTTATAGTCCACATGGACTTGTAATAATGGTAAAGACCCCCTATTTGTACCCTTAATAGAGGTATTTGAACACTATGTAGGATTGTGGAGCCAGTTGTGGTGGTAATACATATGGCAGCGCTACTCCTTAGACTATCACTTTGTTGTAATACTATGGATTTTCCTTTGTGGAAAATCGTGGTTCATTGCAATCAATCTAATATGTTGGTCAAACACAACTCTTACGACTTAGACCATGGCATAAGAGGTCTTTTTCGATCTTCTTTTGTAGTTTGACAACTCTATTTAGAGCTGCACTCATGTGTGTGATGATTGTTTGTGTCACATCATAGCTTGGAGAGCCATGGAGACATGGGAAAGGTTTCGTAGAATGGAATGTGATGGTGACGAAGGTAGTCTTATGCTCATGCATCATTGTCTTTGATAACACCATCCCGCACAATATGCAGTAGCCCCATCATCATCATGAACCAGAACTATTGCATTGACGACAACTATCCGCGTGAGGTGCGGGTCTAGGCATAAAGCTTATTGGTGTTTCTAAGGAAGTGGCCTGATGAGCTGTAAGAATTTAGCTGCATGCTGATATGTTGAAGCTTGAGCACTTCCTAGTAGCAGATCCATCGACCCGCACAACTTTAGGCTAACCTAAGTGCCTAGAATCAACATAGTTCCAACAACAAAGTGAAAATGAACCTTTTGATTGGAACACTAGAATACATAACATTTGGATTTTAGTCAGCAATAAAGCAGTTACACATAATATCTTCTCTTGTAGAAAACCAATCTTAAATGGATACATAGGCCAACTTGAATGGCAACCACAAACATTGTGTTATTTCCATACAAATCAAATGCATAATAAGGGTGACAACATAACTGAGAACCGTTTACTATAGGAAGTATGTTAGGTTTTGCCTATTCCTTGATCCACTTTTGCCATATAGCTCATTCCATTGCTTGATCTCATTCATGACTACACCATCACTAGCAAAGCTTGCAGAGACCTGTGTAGTGTTAGATTCACAATAGTTTATCAGTTTGTCCCCTTGGTAATAAGGTCTACCAAATAATAATATAAAATCATAAGTTGTAGGCTATAAAACATGCAAATTGGTTCGCAACACTTACTTCATCTTTGGCCTGCTTCAGGTCCTCCATGGTTAATGGCCTAAGGGTGATTACCTCATCGATTTCATCCTCGTCGCCCTCCTCTGAAATGGCTTCCATGTCTTTGCTGTCTTTTGACTATTCCTTCTTGCTTTCTTCATTTTGTGGGTTCTCAACACGCACATTCTTCCCTTTCACTTCCTTTTCCTTCTTGTCCTAAGAAATAAACATAATCATAACATGTAACATGATGTGACTCTGGCATCAAATGTTGACAATATCTATATTGATATCTTTATTACCCTTTTTTAGTGACATGTTATATTCCTACATGTTTCAATCAACAAAGTATGTGCCTCTTAACTATGAAAAATAATAATCCTTGGTACAATTCATTAAAATTTAACAAGGGGTTTTGTTTGTCCTTTGTCTTACCTTCTTCATTTGTTTTTCTTTCTGAAGTAGCTCTCGAACAGGACGATAAGCGGCCACCACACAAAGATTCTAGGGAAATAGAGCTTTTGTAAAACAAAGAATGACCCTTGAATAATGAACATTAAGATTAGCATGCGGACCTTTAGATCACTACCGCTGTATCCCTCAGTCATTTTGCCAAGTTCCTTTAAGTCGATACCTTCAATGTTTTCCTAGGACAACAACTTATTAAAAATTAGATCTCTACTCTCAAGAGTAGGGAGACCAATCATTATCCTATTTGAAGCCACATGATACATCAGTGAATAGTCTAGAGATGATGCAATTTGATCAAGATCATAAATTTTAGAAACAACAAAGTTTTAAACACACCTGTGCTCAAACCGCCTGATGATTGCATCATCTAGGTCAAAAGGTCGGTTTGTCGCGGCGAGGACTAGAATCTTTTCACTTGGTTTGGACAAGACTCCATCCCAATGCATCATGAATTCATTCTTGATCCTCCTTGATACCTCATTTTCATTTGAACGTTCGTGTGTCCCTAGCATGCCGTCTACCTCGTCCATGAAAATGATGGCTGGTGCAATTTTGGCAGCTAAACTGAACAACGCTTGGATGCTCTTCTCGGCCTCTCCACACCATTTGGACATGATGGTAGACATTGAGATGTTCATGAAGCTAGCACCAGCTTCATTGGCTATAGCTTTAGCAAGCATAGTTTTACCCGTTCCAGGTGGTCGAAACAATAGAATTCCTCTACATGGTTTTAATAGACCACCATTGAAGAGATCAGGCCATTGAAGTGGAAGCATGACAAGCTCCCGAATTGATTCTTTGATATCAGCTAGTGCTCCAATATCATCAAATGTCACTCCTATTTCACTAGCAGGGATCACTAATTCTGTTATCCGCTTTTCATATTCGTTGTATTTAGTGACCTATAAGGCAATAGGCAAATATGTAAATGGTAAATACACCATCTTCTACTATTTCTATGAATAGAATATTATATTATTTCCTTTACATCAGGAAATCAGAAAAGCAAAAAATTGTTGCTTAATGAAAAATATGGGATACATTTGAGTCATCTTTTATTTCAACTGAATCTTTTTCAAGGTTACTTTCTTGAAAAATTCTTAATCCATAACATAAACCGCTCAAGAATGATGTTGTTAGCAAAAGTATGTTAAAAAGACTAACAAATGGTTCATCATGAATTCAGGATAAATTAACTAACCTCGTTGAAGATAGAATAAGCCTCCCATTTCTGTACTTAGGGTCCTGGTTATTCATCAAATGGTATGAGACTACTGGGGCTAAAATATCCTCTAGGTAACTTGCAATTTCTACATAATCATCTAGGGAGATAGAACTCAAATCATCACACTCCAAATTGTATGATGACAAACCCCCTACAATTTGATGTTTAAGGATTTCATCACGAGCTTTTATCATATCATTTCGCATTTGTCTTGTCCATCTCTGAAGATGAGCCACTTCATTGGGAGGCCTAGTCTCCAGGATGTATGGGAATAGATCAATCAGATCCTTATTAATGTCATCACTATCTTGATTGTCATCAAGGAAGTGCGAACCGATTATCAAAACTCTTCCAAATTGTTTGTTCAACATCTTCTGAAACATACAAAATGCTCTCGGTGAACTATGAAGGATAATATCAATATCCCTGATATAAAGAATAACTGGGCTACATGCAGAAGCCGAAACAATGATCTACAAAATTGGTTTAATATATCAATTCATAATACAAGTACTACATTCTATCATCAATTATGCATGTGGATCTTGATTTACCTTGTAAAGGCATTGTAAGAGAATTTTCACATCCAAGCTCCAGACTGGAGCACTAAAACCTTCATTAGAAAAAGGAACCATAAGTAACTCATGCATGTAAATTGTTCCTTGCTATTAATAGTATACTACATCCAAAATAAGAAACACAATTTATGGATAATGTAGAAAAGCCTTAAGCATAAAATTTAAGTTGGACGAATTGATATAAATAGACCATTTTAGTTTACCAAGTCATAGCTTCTTAGAAATTGATGGAAGCTAGCAGTCATGTTTTTATTAATTTGTCTCATGCATGAAAATAGTTGTGGCATAGATGAGGTTGTAAATAAGAACTTTGACTCACCACCACCATCATCATCATCACTGGATTCTGAGTCTTTGTTCTTTTCATTAGATAATAAGGACGTGTACTCCCCAACTGACTTCATGTTCTTACAACGAACACATCTATTGACAAAGACCAAAAAATGGTAAAGAGGGACAAACTATTATCAAAGGACAAGTTTCGTTGCACCACAGATGTGTTACCTTGTGTTTAAATCATGATTACCCTTTACATGATCCACTAATCCTGCAACAATATTTCATGACAACACAATCATAATACCATGCTTGGTTATGACTTACAAGACGCGTGTAACAAGCAAAGAAGTTTATAGGAAAAGTTATGTGAAAAACAAAGGTTGCATACATCACATCGTAAATATTGGTCTACAAGAAGCCAGAAATTAACTAGTATTAGACAAAAAGAATAATAATTTGATACCTATTGACTCATCCTTCTTGCAAAATATGCTTAAAGATCCAACAAAATCATACACTTTTTCCAAAGCTGCCATAGTTTTGGATCTTATAGGAACCTAGATCAAGAATGGACAAGAGTTGGTTAGTTAAATCATCAAAAGTTTGGCGCATTGCCAGAATTAAAAAATATATACATAAATGTCTCCAAGTGTTAGATGTGGACAAACTATTATTGTCCTTTTCAAGGACCCCATGGCTCATGTGAAGCTTGAAGCCAACTTACTTCTGATTATGTTTTGTAATGGGGAAAATGTCCAACAATCTAACTACAAAGAGTGGTGATATTGGCACCCATCAATCAATTATATGAAAAGAGAATGTAGGACCACCCAATCAACTAAAACACTATACTCAAAATCATCAATAAAATGTACCATACAAACTAAAGGTATTATCTATGTAAATCAATAAGAAGGCGAAACAAGAACCAACTTCAACCTGTGCATTGCTTGAGCCACCATATTTGTGCTGGATCTGTTCAACGACAAGAAGAGGTTTATGGTAATATTAGGGAAAGGGGAAAGCGAAACTACCCTTCAAATAGTATCAAGCTGACCTGATGCAAGAACTCGAAGATATCCAGTGCTAACAGATGTGCATTGAATTGGTTGGCAATGGCCTTGGCAAGTGACCGCAGGCACGTCTCTGTAGCAAGACATCATGTTGTCAAAACATGATCCAGCTGAAAAGAGCATGCATGTATGCGTAAGCAAACCTGATTGACCACAAAGTAGTATGGTGCGGCTTGAGTCCTTGAATACTTTGATGTGCTTTGGCAGAATAGTTTGACTTAGGTAGGGGAATGCTGCGCTCATGAGCACCAGCCTCATTTCCTCGCTAAGAAATAGGGGACAAAATCCTAATCATTTATGGTTCATCAAACATGATTCTAATTTCTTTTGACCCAAATTAATACGATCCCTAAAGTAGCCACCCTAATCCTACCAATCAATCCAACATAACTATAGACTAATCAGATCGCTAGTTATTTTCCCAATCAAAACAAGGTGGGCAAAAAGGATGTAAAAACCACACACGCACCTGAGATAATACGGGAAGTCAAAAAAGGAAATTTTGGTCGCTTGCTCGTTGATAAGGAGGCGTCGAAGCTCTGATTCGATATCTGCAGCTGTTGCGCTACCACCCAAGGTCCCGTCCCCTCTTGTCGAAGATGCCATGAGTTGTATCGATGCCAGACCAAGGCCGACACCCAATCCTACGCCTATGCCTACCGTGGACACGAACAAGCTACCGTTGCTACTACTATTCTCCATGGGCGCTAGACACTAGGACACCTCAACCTCAAACAACAGAAGTTCTTGGTTTGCACAAGGGCATGCAACTCGGTGGTGGGATAGGGATGGACTCTTAGGTGACACGACACTCAACACTAAGTGGGGTTACTGTTGTTTGTGCTCTATGACTGAGGAGAGGTCTGGTATTTATAGAAGGAGACGAGGGTTGTGGTGGGGATCAACTCTGTCAAGTCTCTAAGGGTCCAGGTCATGTAGGTCAGTAGGTGTTATGATCAACGTAGTTGTAGAAATAAGGAGTTATGACCACTAATTTCTTTCAATATTGATGATTATGTAGAAATCAACAAATAGGTTCCATAAATCATATTCCTTCAACATATGAGGCTTACACACATCATGACTAATACATCTTGATGCTGCACAAATTTCAAATGGCAAAGTTAAGGGAAAGTGGGTAGGGATCAGTTATCAAACAAGCTGGATGCCACAATAGAAAGTTAACGGAGAGCCGTTATCAAGTATTATGCATGCCGTGAGGAATATAGAGTAGTTATAAAGCATGATGACAATGAGAACAAACATGTCACTACAACCTATAGGGAACAAACACATCACTACAACCTATAGGAGTAAGATCAAATGGTAGTGGCAAAGTGAAGAGTGTGAACAAGTGTGATGTGTGTGGGTCTGGGTATAGGGGACCACTATTGTACCCACCATGCCCATACCACTTCACACATTGTTCCATTAGCAAAGTTTCTCAAATACTAGAATTGCAAATAATTAGAAGACATTGTCGTTCCTTTTCAAGAACTTTGGGACACATGGGAATAAAGTAATAGCCATTGCCAATCTATACTACTGGTTACAACAATCGATTTCTAGTAGCTTGCTTGCTTGCCACAATACTTTGCAAAACTTACATGGTGGATATTTATTGTATCCATCACTGTATGGTAGCCATGAATCATATTATCTCAATATATATTGGGCTAGCACATAGAAATACTAGTCACATTCCAAATGATTGGTTGCCATAGATTGGGTTATGGTACTCATGTAAAACCATAAGTATTTCTTTATGGTAAAAGTTGTAGGTAGGGTTATTGGGGAGCTTTGAGTGTGTAGAAAGTTAACATAGAGTGGTTATCAAACAAGATGGATGTCATGACGTAAAGTTAATGAAGTTACCAG